TTTTTTTTTTTTTTTTGAGGGTTAACTGCACTTGCGGGCCTCGGCCTCCCCCGGGGAGGGGAGGAGGGGGGAGGCGGAGAGCTATGTGTGCGCCCGTTATTTTCTCCACGCAGGTACTACTGTAGGTGGATTGTTTCCTCAAGCGCTGGCGAGAAGTGCCCACGAAAGGCGCCATTCCCTTGGATATTACACAACACGCCAACGCGCGTCCGCCGAAGTCATCTCGCGCAAGCCCTTTTTGCCACCGCACCACCCAGGCCACGGCCCTCGTATCTCGTCCCGTTGCCACGATCTAAATCGGGCGGGTAAACGCGAGCGCGCGAGCATGGCGATTTTGGTGCTATCCAACCACCGTTGTTGTACATGGCTCTGTCCCAAATGTGTCTGGAGCCCCAATCGAACCTGGATGAAGCAGTACCCCACAGCGAACCAGGATAAAAAAAGTGTTCCTCACCCTACACTTGCATACTGCTTGCGTCTATACTGAAGCTCCCTTGTTTGCAGTATACAGCGTTCAACAGCTGAGCTGTCTCCGTAGTTACCTACGGTAGTCTCGTTAGGATGCACTCTGTAGCTGTAGCACTTCTCAAGACAGGCGAAGAATCCCGCTCTCCTTCGTGTTCGAGATACAGAACAGATGGCGCGGTGTCTTAAGCCCCAGACGCAACAAAAATAAATTGCCGTCAATGCGTGCTTTGTACGAGAGCTGTGTGCTTGGTGTGCGTGTAGACTCGGTGGCGGGAGCAAGTCACCGCCCGACCTGGAACATGACCCTCCACTGCTGTTGGATGTGTACCGAAGCAACAAAACCCGTTGGCATAAACGTAGAATACTCCGACTTTCGCAGCTGAGTTATTTGTTTCGCCTCATGAGCATGAGCGTGCTTTGTTGTTCCGATGGTGTACCGTTTCACTCCACCATCAACTCCAAGCCCATCTTCTCGGAGAACCACGGCAACAGCTAACAGTCGGTTGCCATCAATCTCAAGTCATACTCTATGACCCACATCACAACAGCCAGTTAGTGTCTCAGCAGGTGCTGGACGCTTCGTTTTATTTGTTGCATACGAGCATTTGGATGAAAGACGCGGCGGTAAGTAAATACATCATACGCGCGTCGGTCACACGGCATGCTTGTCGAAAGAGTAATGTTTTGTAAGCCGTGGTGATTCGATGGGGAGGAGAAAGGACAGTAGTCATTGGTGCGTTGTACCTAGCTGTAGATGGGAACAACAGCTATTATAACCTCGCCCGACCCCATATGAAACGGTCGACTCCATTCTACCATTCTACGAACAAGCACTCTCTGCCAACGTGGTTATTCCACCTGCTGTACAAGACTCCTTCTTTTTCCTTCCGCCTGTACCGCTACGAGCGCAGGGTTTCCGATTTTCGGCGTGCGCTGGTGGGGGTGGCCGTTCTGATCGGGTTGGCGCAGCGGTCGTCGGGGAGCGGCTGGAGTGGTCTTCGCGCCGGGCAGTACTACCGCGATGGCAGAAACGTCGACGCCGGGTACGACGCAAGACTGGGCTTGGGCGGCGACGATCGGGGGGGCGTACGCTCGCTCCAGACCGCCACCGACCCGCTGTGCAGCTTGCCGGAGGAGAATCCTTGCACGTTGAACACCACGGCCATCGGCATGGTGGAATCGGGCACCTCCACTTACTACGACGAGTGAGCTGTGTGTCCGTGTCTTTTTTTTTGCATCGACCACGCTAACTGGCTGACCATGTCTGTGTGTTTCTGTATGTGCCCTGATTATTGGCATCGACCGCGCTAACCGACACACGAACGGAAATGCGTCATTCGCAGTGTGGCTGACCACAGAAAATGCTTGTAAAGGCCATGTGTGTGTCTTTACTACTTGCATTGCGCGGCGCTACCCGGCTGACCATTGAAAACACACCAATCTCAGTGCGACTTAGCACGGAGAGGCTTCAAGGCTATGTTGTTTGTGTGTGTTGGTATGTTGATATCTGTGTATGTGGTGTGCTTGGAGTTGTTTGCTGTTGTGGATTCATCATAAAATCACCCCCGGCACCCTGTCGCAGTGCCACAAAGTTTGACTTCACCTACATCCGGGTTGCCTCTTCTCTGCAAGCGATTTGCGTGTTTCCACCCGAAGTGGCTGACAAGAGGCTGTTGCGCGTGATGTATCCTGTTGTGGGTGCCGGTGTCGTACCGGGGGTAGCAAACACCACAACAAGGCGCGGCTATCTCTTGCTTCGAATGAAGCTGAGCTGAATGGATGTTAATGCGGGCGGTTGCATGACAGGTGGAAGAAAGCCGTCCCCCGCGTGCTGTCCTTGCCACCATAAGAAAACGCGAAAGCCTCTATCTGCTGCAAGTATTGCAGTAACCGTGTCTTTACCCAGAATGATGCGACTTTCAGCTAGAGCACCAAATACTATGTGTAGCGATATTTTTCGGTCTTGTCGTTTGGCGCTGTTTTTTTGCCAGCACATGCGAGGCGGGGATTCAAGGCTGCTACACTGACGGGGTCCGCGAGTGCCGGACGTGCTATCTATCTACTGAAATCTACATGTGAGTTCTGTCTCATTTTTATCGACAAGTGGGTCCACGGAGTGTTATCTGTCTACTGGTATCAACGTGTGAGTTGAAGGCACAAACCGTTCTACCTCATTTTCTTTGTCAAAATGTGGGTCCACGTCATCTGCCGACGTGTGCATGCGCTGCCTGTGATTATCATATGTGACGATCAAGTGTGTAACCCTTCCGCAAGCATATCGACACATTCACCTACATGCGAGTGAGTCGTGCTACACGTTAATTTTCATCTCATTTGGCCGGTCATCACCTCCATGACATGTCATGACATGACATGACGGACCGAATTCGATTGTGTGATTCTGTGGCCTTAGGTTTCATTCACCACTGATGCGTTTCGATCATCATATCTCCTTGAACTATCTCTCTTCTTCTACATCTCTCGAAACAGTCTCTTTTCACGCGGCGGCCCTCCTTACAAGAAGATCAGTCTCGCGCTCCCATGGCCGGCCGATCTTATCCCCAGTCTCTACGTTGCCACGATCGACCGCCAGATCGTATCCCCAGTTTCTAGCTCGCCACAATCGCCCTCCTGGAGGTCTGTGTGGCTAAGGAGTAAGCGTCCCATTGCTCGATTGCGAAGGCTACCCACGCTTGCCTGCGAACTGGTGCTCGTCCGTTGCCTGCTGGTTGTGTCTTGTCTTGTAACTCGCTTGTCCTGGCTCTCTCTCTCTCTCTCTCTCTCTCTCTCTCTCTCTCTCTCTCTCTCTCTCTTTCCTCTCTCTCGCTCTCTCTCTCTCTCGCTCTCTCTCTCGCTCTCTGTGTGTCTTGCTCCTTGTGCCGCAGGGATGCCACTAATGCCACCGAGGCCTCTCGCCCACCGTGGGCCATGTGCCCGTGTTGCGTTCCCGCGACGCTCCAAAGCGACCACGACGACATCGAGGTGATGCAGTGATTTGGAAGCCCGTCATGCTATGGTGGCCGATCCATGACGTCATTACCAACCCATGACGTCAATATTCCCCCGATTGTACTCTACTTTCTGTTCGCCCTTTCGGCCTCAGAACCTCTGTACCTAGCTTACCCGAACGTGGATGGTGGACACGCGATGATAGATGTCTCACTTTGCCGTGGTGCCGTAGACGATGATAGCTCGTGGAGGTGGATAGGTTAGGTTGGAATAAGGTGGCGGTGAATACAGATGTGGATGTGGGGGTGGCTGTGGGCATAGGCGTGACAGGTCACCTCTGCTTCTTGATTTCACCACGCGACAAGACCGCAAGTGCGAGACGCAACAACAATCTTCCTGCACTCCGGTCGAGTGGAAATGTTTACTGCACTGTGTAGCAACCTCATTCCTGTACATCTGGGATCGCTCGCATATGTACATTCTAGACGCTCGCTGAAGATTGCATCAGGAGGTCCCCTAGCACGCGGCCAAACGTACTCACTGAGGTTTGAGATATCTTTCAGATTCCAACGTGACTGTAGACATGACCACCTGTCCCTCTCCCCAATATCACCCCCCCCCCCCCCCCCCCCCCCCCCCCCCCCCCCCCCCCCCCCCCCCCCCCCCCCCCCCNCGAGGCAGTTAGACAGTGCTTACAACTGTCTCTGGAAGTGAAAGCACCAGAAAGTAAATTAAGTCATACGCAGCTGTAATCCGTAATAAAGGAAGTAAGCACAAGATGCCGAACACCCTTCGCAGGATGCAGCGCACC